TGCAGCTCTTCCTGAACTGGCCCAATCCTTCACACACATATTTATAAAATCTCTCACCCCATGACAGAGCTCAAACAGCTCCTAAAACTGTCTGAATCCCTGAACTGACCCATCTGTGCAGCCTCCCAGACCCCGCCTTTTTAACTGCGTTTTCCTTCTGATTTCTCTATGGCTGAGCMCCCTTTTTATTTTGAGTGTTCACCTCAGCATGAGGGGAGAGCTGTGCACAGAAATATCTTTTAATCGTTGTCCCTCCTCTCAGCACCACAACTTCAGCATTTTGAAAATACTTTTCAAAAAGTATTTTACTTGAAAACTTGAAGTCAATCACCACAGCAATGTGTTTATGGTTTGAAGAAATGCAGTTTTCCACTCAAAGCTGCTTTTTTTTTTAAAGAATGAGGGCAGTGGTGGCAAATAAAGATTTACTGTAAATGCTTGAAAGCTGAAGATAAACTTCATAGATATAAAGAGATTTTTTATTGATGGTTTACAAAAACATATCAGGATTTTGGCTTTTGGTTTTAATTTGCAGTTTGTAATTTCTGAAGGAGAATCACAGAACCCCAGAATGGTTTGGGTTGGGAGGGAGGATGACAGGCGTTATCTCCCATCGACCCCAATTAGTTATTCACAGATTCATTAGCTCCAACCTCMCTCTAATTCTTCATCTGTGGATGGCATTAAACCTTCTGTGTCACTGCAGTGTTAATATTTACATTCACACCCTGCCAAGCCCTCATTAACCAACACTCCCTTTTCCCTCTGCTCTAACCCTSGCTTCCCTAACCAGCAATTTTCACATGGCACTAAACTCCATCATGAATTATTTACAACAGACACATGTTTCCAGGCAGCACCATTAGAAGATCATTTGGAGATGTGCAAATTCATAAAATTTGTCTCCTCTTAAGACAACCACATCCCACCCAAGTCCCACAGGGTGAATGCAGGGCAGGAAAGGGCTCGGAATGTGCAATGCAAACAGGTCCCTGCCCCTCCCAGATTTTTCCTGAATATCCCAACACAGTCTGTGAGACTCCTTGAACGACCATCACCCAAATTCAAGCTTAGCACCCATTTGCAGACTCTTCAGACCATTCCCATGGCCCTGAGGTGCTCTGAGCATCCCAAAATTGTCCATCAGCATGTCACTACAGAAGGTTTTGTTTTTTACCTTAGGGATCCTTGTCATTTTTTTCCTTTGCTTCCTGAACCTTAGCAGCTTATCCCGTTCCTGCAAGAACCAGAGACGTGTCAGGGGTTTTCAGGGAGCAGTTATTTAAATTAACCATGACTATTTAAATTAACCATGTCAGTACAGCACTGGGGAGCAGCAGACAGGGATGTCACTGCTGCCCACTGTCCCACACTGTCACCAGCCATGGCCACTGTCCCACACTGTCACCAGCCATGGCCACTGTCCCACACTGTCACCAGCCATGGGTTAGTCACTCCAGCATCTTCCAGGTTTGCCACAGACCATGAGAAATTGCTCTTTATGCCCATGCAAAGCAAACTAGAATAAAGCTTTATCCTGAGAGCTGGCTGTGCCCTTGCAGTGTGTCTGTGGGTGACAGTGGCACTCCATTCCTGGCCCTGGCCTGGCTGGGGGCTCTTGGTGGCTCTGCAAGGGGCTCACACCCAACAGCCCCACTGCTCACATTTCAGGGGCTCTTTGAACTCAGCAAGTGCAGCTCAGCTCCTTCTCCATGGATCTGCAGGTCCCCAGTGCCTCTGGGAAAGGTTTGAGCATTTACTGCTGCCAGTAACTTCTCCAGTCAGAGGAAATCCTGGAATCATCAATCCCTGCTTGGAAGGGACCTGAAATATCAGCCCTGACCTGGACAGGGACCCCTCCCACTGTCCCAGGCTGCTCCCAGCCCCAATGTCCAGCCTGGCCTTGGACACTCAAAGGGATCCAGGGGCAGCCACAGCTTCTCTGGGCACCCTGTGCCAGGGCTGCCCACCCTCACAGGGAAGGATTTCTTCCTTTTTATGGAGTTTGGTCCATTTTTTACAGTACTCAGAAAGAWGTTCTGTTCTGGACTTGCAAGGCCCAGGATTGCAGAGAAGGGGCAATAGATATTTCTGTAGGGGAAGGCCTCAAACCTTTCATTTTACCCACATGGCACAAGGCTGACATTGGGGACACTGACACTGCTGCTGCCACCAATCCCAAAGCCAGCAGCAGTGGCTGGGGACAATCAAACACTCACTGCTGGCAATGGGGACAGCACAATGAGTGGTGTTGTACCCTGCCTGCTTTCTGTGAACAGCAATTTAAAGCACACAGAGATGAGGATGGCATTAATGTCACTCTTACCATGACACTCTTCACATAGCCAGCCGTCTCCAGGGTCTAATGAAAAACAATGAAATAATGTCAGTAAGCAGACAGGATTAAAAAGAAAGGAAAGAAATAAAAGTTACTTTCTAGAGGAGCATTAAGATTTTCTGTCTGCAGGGACTGAGAACATGTTAACAACCCCAAGCCCAGGAGTGCAGAGCATCCCTGTCCACAGGAATCTTTAGCCCCATGGTGTCTCCAGCAGAAGGAGCTCGGATATTTTTGCTCCCAGATCTGGCCACCAGCAAATCTAGGAACACGCTTCTGTCACGCCAGGACAATGCAGATTGAAAGAGTTTTCCCAAACACCACACCACAGATGTACTTATGGTACTACTGAGCACAGCAATGCCTGCCAGCTTCC